TATAGCACGAAAGAAGCCCCCAATCACTGAGGCAAATCGTGTCAAACGGTTGAATTGGGCTCTACAACATAAGGACTGGACACCTCAGCAGTGGAAGGAGGTTCTATGGACTGATGAGACTTGGGTTACAGGTGGCCTTCACCGTAAGTGCTATATCACTCGCCGTCAAGGTGAAGAATGGGACCCTACTTGTATAGTTGAAAAGCATCAAGGTAAGAGAGGTTGGATGTTCTGGGGGTCCTTTTCAGGCACTGAAAAGGGCCCTGGAGTGTTTTGGGAGAAGGAATGGGGCTCAATTACTTCTGAGAGTTATTGTGACTATATTGTACCTGTTATTGATGGCTGGATTCGGCTTTGCAAACAGCAATTTGGCGATAGCCTCATTTTGATGCAAGATGGTGCTCCAAGCCACTCTGCAAGGGAGACCAAAGAAGATCTACAGCAATGTGGAGTGTAGGTTATCTATTGGCCACCTTACTCTCCAGACCTCAATCCCATTGAGAGCTGTTGGAATTGGATGAAGGACTTTATTGAAGATAAATATGGCCATATTGAGAAGCCCTCATATGATCTCCTCCGGATATGGGTTAAGGAGGCTTGGGAAAGCCTTCCTGTAGACTACCTTCAGTCCCTGATGGGAGAAATGAAAGATAGATGTGAGGCAGTGATCAAGGCCAACGGAATGCATACAAAGTACTAGTAGAACCAATAGAAATTGAATGCAGGGGCTTATGTGGGTGCATTATAGCCAGGGGGTGAGATTGGTACTAGATCCACAGTGAAAACTTACCCATAATACCATAGTATTGATAAAAGGTGGGAATTCAATGTCTGAACCTCCAAGGACCCGTTCTCCACTCATACAGAATGGCGCAAGGTGGAACTGGTAGAGCGCCAAAAACAGCGCTCTAGGATGATCCCTGGAGAAAGGTTACTCCACAAAAGGATTTCTAGAAATGTTTCGACCCATATGTCGTTTTTGACCGCTTGTCGTTTTTGACCGTGTGTTGTTTTCGACCATGGTCGTTTTTGACCGTATGTCGTTTTTGACCCTTCATCGAGTCAAAAACAAGGACCCAAGATAAACATGTGGACTAAATTAGAGTACTACTGTACTCGAAATACTGGTACTCTATGAGGCCGAGTGACCGTAGTTGTTGGACGTTCCATGGGGTCAGAAAGGACGTTGGGGAACATCATCGACCAAGAATATCCACAAAAGAGCGCATAATGTTAGAAGCCGACGGAACCGCAAAAGTGCACTTCTGGATTGTAGGATGTCTACAGCGCCGGTCTCCCTGTGGTCCTCATAATAAAGCGGCCTGCATGGCCAGAACATACTGACATCGCCACATACAGTACGGTATCGCCCCTCTACGGATCTCATCTTGGTACATACGGCAGTACAATACAGCACTGTATGTTTGAAGTATTGCCCAAATTGGTCACGAAGCCAAGTCGCTAACCATCTCGAGTATCGCAGTTGTGCCAGCGAACGCACATACATACCCGACTTCACAATAATCTGGGGAAGGACTAGGCCACCCCATTGACTCGACACACATCTTATCTCAGGAACTCTGTATATAGAGATAATGGCTCAAGCTGGAAGGGTCGCGCGGCCATCACCAAAGGAGTATGCATGCTCTCAGTGGCAAAACATTAGTCCTAATACCAGAAGTATTAGAGCTCAAATCGTGGGCGAGGTGGTGAACGGCAAGTTTTCTATTAACATCATTCTCGCAAATGGGGAGCGCATAAAACCAATAAGCATCGGAGGAGTACCAATTGAGCAGCTGGAACGTGAAGAATGTCTTGACTCGGCTTTTCAGCGAGCGAATGGTAAGTACTTTTACGAACCAATTCAAAGGCTAGAAGAGGGTTTGCTGATTTGACTTCGCTAGACCAGCATTACGTCGAATCGCTCCCGTTTGTTGGCAATTGATTACGACACGGTGACTGTAACATCCCTTATCGCTTGGCCTTCTTAACTCTTGTTCATACAACTCTCTTGTTGTTAAGAATACAGATAAAATCGGTTGAAATAGTTTTAGGGGGTACATGAGATAAACGCACAATTCGATTTGAGACTTTTTCCCGCAGCGAACAATAGTATATGAAAAAATTATCGCATTTAATGTACAACTTATAGAGACGCATAAAGCCTCGCATAATTGACACAGCGATGCTCCGAGCATACTGTAGTGTTAACTACTGTCGTCTAGGTCCAAGTAGAGCGGTGTACCAGTCTTATTTTATGTAACTGTCTTTTGATCATTGACGCTTATTAAGAGTTCTACAACCAGCTCATTATTATAATTTCCAATAGACCCCACTGTGCATAAGCCCATTTTAGAGCGCTCTCATTCTTCACCGATATACGTATTCATCTTTCGTCTAGCTAGATTTGTCCCCACATCGACAACTATCCAGATCCTAGTCATATCAAGCAGTCCATACAATCTCTTTTCAATGCTATACAGGCTGTGCCGGGTGTCTCCGAGTTCATCTTGTCCGCTGATTCCATCTCGTAGGCTATCGGCGTCTGCCAGACTCTGCGATCATGATGACGGACGTCCATACGTTTTTCGTATCCTTTAAAGTTTTATCTGTGACTTATCCAGGCATCCTAGAGGGGATTGTTTTAGTACACATTCTATTAGGCTCCGAAAAATGATTTGATTCGGATGTGTTCTTGGGTTCGGTACCCGCTCTCTGTGTTGGACGCATCTTCTGCGTATCTCTTTTGCCAGCCTTTTAGATGTTTGACCCTAGTCGAAGGCCCTGTAATGCCCATGCAACATGCTATTTTATAGACTTGAACGTGTCTCCATTCTCCCCACCCGGCAAACCACAGCCTAGAGAGGGGAGTGGTCTTAACACTCACTGACAACTTCTTTTTAGTATCGCCTGTAAAAAGGGGTTTCTCTGTTAAAATTGGGCAGTGCAAGCTGCAGTCATTTCCCACTGCCTTAGCTGTTGGGACATCTTTGTCTCTTGTCTGTACCACTTGATTTTCCTGGTCATCTATCTAGGATACTTCAGGTTTAATCTCAGTCAAATAAGCTTAGTGTCTCTCTATATTATAATAAGAGTAATAGTAGGTATGGCCTTATACTTGTCATACTACTATTAGGTTGTGGAGCCGAGTATTGAAAACGGGCAGTGGGCGTACAACCCACTGGCCCCAGAAAGCCATATAAAGTCACAGTAGAAAGGAAGCCTCCAGGGCAAAAGAATATCAATCTGAGGTGTCAGTCTGGTATCTATATCGCTCATATGCAAGTGAAGCTAAGTCTAAGCAATCTGAAGAGAAAATAAAGCAAAAATAAGTCATCTGACGAGTGCAGGGTAGTCCCCTGTCACCCCAACTCAGTATTTGTGCCCATAGCCTCGGAGGTCTGGAAAGGCGTCTTGTACCTACACTATTTACAGCATTCCTTCTGCCGATTAGACTGTTCATGTTCGGTGAGTATCCAGTGTTATCTTTCACATCTTACGAGAGAAGCTATAGTATCTGACATCTTCCTCGTCAGTATAAACCTCGAAGGCCGGGTTGCCATGGATCGGCGCTACAATTAGAGTGCTAGTCTTCACTGTCAGAATATTCCTTGTCATTTAGTATATATTCCTCTACTTTCCCTTGACCTACCCATAGTATGCTACATCGTTGTTTACTAGAAACGACTTTCTTCGATCTATATTAGTAGCCGGCACAATTCACTTCTCGAGTCTGCTATATATATCAATCTCGGTGTCGGCCGAGGAGTGAGTCTCCTGGCAGGTTTGACGTGTGGTTGTATTCTCGGAGTATACGGTCTCTGGTACTTTGGGGCTTATTTGAGGGCCAGAAGTCGTTTTGCCGCGCAATGAAAGCGCTTGCTTCAGATGGTTTCAGCCGAAGAGGATCGATGCGTGTAGGATTCTTCCACGCTTCTTGTTAGGACGCTGAAAGAATTGGCTTTCGTGTCAGATCGCATATACAGACGAGGCTTACGAGGAGCACCAAGGCTTTGTAAGAACTCTGGGCGGCAGTGTTGGCCGTCGGCCGCAATGCTGATCAGCCGACGGCGACGGCAGCATAACGCTAACCCACTCCGATGATAACGAAAGATTGAATTCAACAAGTTTTTGTTTGATGACCACATGTCGAAGAATGGCTAGATTTACTCTGAAATATGCCGAATAGCAGGGATTCGGTGTTAATGATGCAAGCATCTTGCCGGAGACCACTTCCGTGAAGCCCCTGAATCCAGACGTCGAAGCTCGACCCACTTATACCGATCTTCGGGGCCATCCCCTAGCTGTCATCGATGAGTCAATTACGGATGCGGCCGACCGCTATGTATCGAGTCCTAAATGTGATTATTTGACAATATTTGCACAACTGATCTTGAGCTGTTTCCTGGATCGTATTACCCCTCAGCCCCTGAACCCCTGAGTCGCTCAGGACCCACAGAAAAAGCCTGCGTCCACCCCCGGAGGTCTGCCAGGAGTCTCAAGACAACCAGCATGCACGGGCCATGAAAAGGTGTATTGGATGTCAATACAGGTGGTAATTGGTATGGTAGGGAAATTCTAAATCAGTAATGACTGTTTCCTTTATTTAGACTATTGCAGCAGTTATAGCTAAGTTTACACTACTATTACCGGTAGCGACTGTCTGGCTAGAAAGATCGGGTTGATATACCCCTGAATATGACTCAGTAGCATCATTTGAAACTCTTCAGATTGACATTGTTCGGAGGCTTTCCTGATTGAGCAAGTTGTAGCGGCCTTCTTCAATAAGTCTCTGTGTAGTAATCCGCTGCGGGTAGTTTCTCATAAACATGTCAGTGAAATGCTTCCCGTAGTGAACTCCTTCTTGAGGCTCCTGTCCAGCATTATATCCAGGGAGTGGTTTGATGATAGCCTGGAAACTTGGCTCATGAAAATAGGCAAACGCAAACCTCTCCTTGATATTCAACCCCACTTTGTGAGGTGTAGAAGGAAGGTAAGAATTAGTTAGGTATTGCATCATATCCCCTATTAATTCGATGTCAGTTAGTATTGCTTCCAACAGAGTTGAAGAAACCTGCCTGGGAAGACGGTAAAAACATTCTCTGCTGGAGGGACAAAAATCCATCCTTCATCATCCTCCTTGTAACCAGCCGCGCTTTTTTCCCAGTTGGCAAATACTTCATCTTCATTTGGGGGCCGGATGAGCAGAGCTGGATCATATTATGTAAGCGGTCTCCAATTAATGGTCTCCTCCACCTGGTGAGTTTGGTTGACTTACCACCAACATCGTCGGCAGCCGCAAGGACGAGCAGGCCGTAGTCAGTGTGCGAGCCTATGCCACGACCATCCTTTCCTTTGCCGTTGGTGTTATTCATGGCAGGGAATCTATATTCCAGAACGTCAGAGACTCGGACACGCAAGCAGCGGCACAATGTCACGCTACTCACCTCAGAATCCTCATGTGATGCCATCCATCTCGGGTGTATTGTGTGAGGGATCCCTTGGGCGTTCCCAGCCCAAGCTCAGTTAGTGCCAAGAGGATCTCACCGCTGCCACCCAAGCTGTCCATGTATCGCTTCATGGGTTGCTGTAAATCAGCGTCAGGCCAAGGGCAGCGGCCATGACACGGCCATTTCCCAACAACCCTCGGTTCATCAAGAGGAAGATCCTTAGTCACTGTAAAGATTTCGCTGTAATCAGCTATACCATCTGTCAATTCTTCACCACTGGCAATGTAACCGGCGTAGCTCTGGCTGTCCACGCAGCTGGATTTGATGGCGTAAGACTTGCTAAAGAAGCGCTTGCTGCTCGCGTTGGCAGCCTTGTACAGGTCCTGCTGTTCAGGTTTCATAGAAATCTGGAGGATACCGTCCTTTTTCCATGCCGCAATAATGGCCTTGCCGAGCTTCACATCTTCATCGCTGCCGGAGACCTTCTCGGGCAGGACAAAAGTTTGAAGGTACCCAACTTTGGCGTTATAGCCCGGTGGGATACCCGCAGGGTCGGCACTGTTCTGGGCAAGAGGTTTCTCAATGACGACAGACATGTTAAAATTGATGTAAGTCCCCGAGTGTTTGTTGTCTTGCCCTGAGCTTGGCTTAAAAAATCTGATGTTGTTTGTGCTAATAGTTCATCAAACTTGAAACGAAGGCCTTTTATACATGAAAATCTCAACTGATTCTTCGATATATGCGATATACAACCCCGTCACCCTTCCCGCACGACATTGCCTTTAGCTTGCCAAGGCTTGCCAAGGCTTGCCAAGGCCTGCCACGTTGCATCTGTCTATAAGGATTGTTAGCTTCGCAGAAGCTTGATGCAAACCATTTTCGTCCTGAAAGCGCTGCAAAATATAGATCCGAGACTCCCGAAGCTCCAATTACCATCACCAAATTTCTGACTCCAAAGAGTCGAGATATTTGACATGTCTACTAGCAGTAAACATTGATAGTGTTAAGAAAAACACATATCTTCGTACTTACGACTTCCGGCAAATCCCCCTCTAACTTAAGCGCTTCACTAAGCACAGTTTGCCTCCATCGTAAACCTAAAGAATCTCATGCGCTCTCTACTCGTGTAGTAGAGGCCGAACAATTCAACCAGCATACAACTGCCGAGCTAGGCTTGCAGGGATCAAGTCGAATCCCCCGCCCGAAATATCACGTTCACTTGAAGGTAATGTTATTCGTACACAGTTCCTCCACAATCTCCCTGTATTGCAAACCAACTTTCATCATTATCTTCTTATCTAGCTAACAACCTTACATTCACTCAGAAACGATCATGGCTAAACTAATTGTGCACCCCCAGCTTATATTTGGGATTCGCGAAAGTTCACCCAGCTAAGTAGGTATCAACCACTATTTCGCCCATCACATACTTAACTCTAAGATTGACCCATTTTTCTCGCTGTCAAGTATAGATAGGCAAATAGTAAAGTAATGGTAAACACCCACTTAGGTAGGTAAGCTTCTGCCAATCCTAAATATAAGCGAGGGGGGGGCACGATAAGCGGGCAAGAATGCAGGCCAGCATCTCTCCCCGGCACTAATTATAGTCCCTATAGAGTAAATGTGACCCAGAAGTTCCTCATGGATTGGTGATCGCCGTGTTAGTAACGGAACAGCCCGCTTTCGGGGCTCTCAAGGCACATTATTACCCGATACAAGGGGCCCTTGGTTAATACTATTGCAGGGTTTATTATTCTTAAGATTTAGGACTTATCCAGGCATTCCACTTTTTTTTCTGCAAGAATCACCTGACAGGCCGGTGCTCATGATTTGGCCTTTGCCATATTCGTGCTCGACATCATCAAGATCAGGCCACAGCTGAGCGTGATCATCTGCCGAAACCACACTCCATATGCAAGTTCTGGCAAGTCCTTGATGAGGAAGCGTCCTCATATAATGCATAACGTCTTATTGGTCGCCAGTGCCCATAATCATCCTAGGCATTTCCAAAACTTGGAAACTTCATCGGGATACCGCTATCGCAGCCAGCTTCTGACCAATAAGAAGCTAGCCAGAGGACTGCATTGTCATGCCGGAGCATCTTTGTTCCTGTTACTAGCATTCAAGACAAGGTGCAGTCTCCATACCATACAGGTTAGATAGAACTTAAGTCAACCCCAAGGATAATTGCAGATGGATATTTACTGGATTCCAAATACCAGCTGGTTTCGTGCGAGGCCGAAGCAACAGCGGAGTAGACACTTGCTATACAAAATCCATTACCTAAATTCCTGTCCCAGTACCGAGATCAAGCATACGCTAAACATAATCTTTAATAGGGGTAAGAAACAATCTGCCTCTAAGTAACAGATAATATATATGATACGCTATATCTATATAACCTTACTCTTTATCATTTAGCTATCAATAGTCTGATAAGTATTACCTTTCTCGTCTAATAGATATCTAGAGGTTAAATACCGCATAATATGCTCCTTCTCTCGATACATGATAGCTACGTCTATTCTACAACACTATTAACCTCTCACAATATAGATTATCTCGATACTAACCTTGTATCTAGATCAGTAGTATAGTAACTCGTCAGAATGGTTCTCGATATCCTATTAGTGCAATAAACTTATAATTTATAATGCTGGACTTCATAAATATTATCAGGCTAGCTACTCTTCTATAGACGCCGTCAGACAGAACCGATCGGTATAAAGGATGTATAGTTTCACGACTCGTTGAAAGCAGAATCGCCGTCGTCCTGCCCCAGCGCGTCAACCATGCTGTACATTAACTAGCTCGGGACCTGTACTCACATCCACCTGCAAAGGCTCCTCAGCAAGGAGGTCCTGCAATTGTTGCTGGATCTGGCGGGCTCTGAGACGCTTCCTCGGCCAATCTCGGCGAGGCGTGCCCTTGGTAGGAGTGAAAGGAATCAACATTTGGCCAGGAAAGCTGTGATTTGTTTAGCAAAGTCATGCCGCTTAAATGCCCGACCCCGACACAGACACGGGTTTGGAATGGTGGGTGCACAAACGAAAGTAGCTATTTCATGTCTGTGACCAATAGGAATGAGAGCCGCCAATAGGAATCTGCATAACTATGACTGAGTGTGCCTGATGATCCTTGCCCTTGGTAGCGTGGGATGCGGACGAATTCTCGATTTCGGCAATGAAAATAAGGTTGGACCACTCCACTAATTGTCACATAATCGGGTCGCAATTCTTAGGGGTTCAGTCTGTGTATTCTCCAAGTGTGTGTCCGGCATAATGCCAGTCCGAGTAAGCTTTTTCTACTGTGACGCACGAATCACCATATGGACCGTGCTGATCAGTTGCCAGCTGGCCTTACCTGTCGACGGTCCGTTTGGAACCGTCAGATATCCTAATATCTACTATATAGTATGTGACAAATACGATAGTCTAAGTATTTGTCTACAAGGAAACTAAAATTTTACGCGTTTTCAAAAATTTGTTCTGAGCTGTTTGTGGTGTTTTCGTACTCCAGTCTTTTTGTTCGAACGTAGTTTTCGGGTCGTGACAAAGTCACCGCTGCCGCTCCGATGTGGCCGTTGATTCCGCTACCGTCCGTGTAGATGCGTATCACTCCATGTTTCGTATTGTCATACTCTCTGATTGCTTCTTCTGCTGATGAATTGATTTGAACAGAAGGTACCCTCCACCATAGGGCCATAGCGTGTGGTTGGCGCTGCTTGAGTCGATTGAGCTATATCTTGAACTTCCTCTTAAGCATGCCTGAGAAGTGGTTTAGGGGGCTTAGTCGACGTTAGGCTTGGCTCGAGGATCCCTCGCTATTGTAGGGCAAGGCCATGTCGGCGTATAATGGTATGGTGCAAATCCGCATCGTGGCCTCAAGCGCTGTCTTTTCAAGTAGCTACAGCACTAGGAGTAGGTAACTCTCTACATCCAACGCTACGCCCGCCGTTGTATGGAATACGCCAGTGATGATCTGAGCGGCTCGTTTCTATACTCTTGCGGTGGCTGCTACCATAGCATTATGTGAGCCGGAGTGAGGATCGCCGGGGTTAAACCATGTAGAATAGCCAAAGAGCATCTGAGGTACGACCATGGCTCTATATACATATCGTAAGTTGATCATGCCAGTGCCCCAGGTCGAGGAGGCTAGGGCCGCAAGAGCCGAAAGTCGTTGCGTGGCTCGCTTCTCGATCCTCGTCCGGTGGTGGTCCCACCATAGTCTACTATCCATCTGCACGCCCAAGTATCGGCACGAAGAAGATGCCTTGATCGTAGCCTGTGGTAGGCGGAGGGCGTGAGAGCTGCTCTTTTCAGGATCTCAGTTGTCCAGAACCTATCCGAGCCACGAGAGAATTCCAGGACTAGATCAGGCGAAAACTTCATGGCGCTAAGTCACCCTGAGCGGGACTGCTTCAGGACGGCTTAGATCCACCCGACGAAAAGACAGTGGAGGCTGAAGGCGAGATGGGATGTGTAACCGTGGGCACTCGACAAAGATACCAAATGAATGCCAGTATTGGAGAACGACTGTCCCTTGCGATCGGCGCAGCTTTACCTCAAGCCTCGACACCAGACGGTCGGGCTGATCGCAACAGCTTAGAAGGAGAGCACAATGCCATCCATGTTACTTCGAACATCACTCCTCAAAGGCGTTCTGTCCAAGGCGCGATCACTGATCGGAAGCAATCACGAGACAATATTATACCAGAAGTGCTTGCGGCCTTGGTGGGACTATCAGCTAGTGGGCTACCAGGAATCGGTCAAATCGCACAGACTACGTCTAGAAATGAACATAGTTGTAGTGCTATGCAAAGTAACAGTACGTTACCACATGGCGCGAAGCAATTGCCTCTGTTTTTATCCTCTTCAGTTGGCTTATGAGCTAAGCAATAAGTTCAGATTCACCACATCAGTTGCGGCCCAATTTCCCTCCTACAGAGTTGGGACTTCAGGATAATGCCTATGGCCTAACTTCTCGAAAGGTGTCATTGAAGGGTGTAGAGCGTGACGTTACGCCAACCGCAGTACACACATGCGCCAAATCCACCAGGCCAACAGAGATACAAAAATCCGGCCTTCCACCTCTAGCTTTAAGTAACCCTTCACCAGTGTCGTACCAGGCTCAATATGTGCCGGCAGAAAGAAATCCAAGTGTGCCTCCAGCGCAATTCCAACGAGAATTGACACACCCCCAAGCAACTCTCAGGGCTTTCGTTACGGATAATGCGCCCTCGGTACCTCACCGGGGTTGTGAAACATGCCAGTCATCGCAATTACCATTGACAGTACATATGCCAGCTCGCAATTCGCCAAAATCTAACACCACGCAGAGGCTCTAGAGTCATTACCGTGAATTTGTGGCGCTACAGTCAACACGAATTACCAAACAACTATCCCCAAATGAAGGCCCTGACCGACGCACTGGTGAGGAGAGCATATATTCAAAGGTTCCTGTCTCCTCAACTAAAAGCACGACGCTAGAAAGGGCCATAATCAACGACTATTCTCCTGCGGCCTTGAAATCGTGCCTCTTGAACCATAAACTCAAACTTGGTTCTCGGCGAGGTTCTTCTGTTGAAACCTTCCGA